GCCCACGAGTCTGGCCACCGATCGAGACATCCTCAAAATCTGGCCCACCTGGGGGGTGAAAATGAGCGCCTCGCTCGAGACATCCTCCAAATCTACTCCGAAAGCTACGGATGTTGGGACAGAAAACAAGCAAACCGCTTGAGACATCCCCACAAAACGGCCGCGAACGGGACCGTGAGATAACCCCTGGCGGCTCCTCTTAGGGCGGTGAAATGAGCGCCTCGCTCGAGACATCCTCCAAATCTGCTCCGAAAGCGAAAGATGTTGGGACAGCCAACAGGCAAACCGCTTGAGACATCCCCACAAAACGGCCGCGAACGGGACTGTGATATAACCCCTGGCGGCTCCCCTTAGGGGGGTGAAAAGGAGCGCATCGCTCGAGACATCCTCCAAATCTGTTCCGAAGCAAAGGATGTTGGGACAGAAAACAGGCGAACCGCATGAGACATCCCCTCAAAACGGCCGCGAACGGGACCGTGAGAGAACCCCTGGCGGCTTTCCTTAGGGGGGTGAAAAGGAGCGCCTCGCTCGAGACATCCTCCAAATCTGCTCCGAAAGCGAAGGATGTTGTGACAGAATACAGGCAAACCGCGTGAGACATGCCCACAAAACGGCCGCGAACGGGACCGTGAGATAACCCTTCGGCGGCTCACCTTAGGGACGTGAAAATGAGCGCCTCGCCCAAGACATCCTCCAAATCTGCTCCGAAAGCGAAGGATGTTGGGACAGAAAACAAGCAAACCGCTTGAGACATCCCCACAAAACGGCCGCGAACGGGACCGTGAGATAACCCCTGGCGGCTCCTCTTAGGGCGGTGAAATGAGCGCCTCGCTCGAGACATCCTCCAAATCTGCTCCGAAAGCGAAAGATGTTGGGACAGAAAACAGGCAAACCGCTTGAGGCATCCCCACAAAACGGCCGCGAATGTGGCGTGCGTGAGTCTCAGCATGAGTAAGGTCTGAGTAGGAGTAGGTCTGAGTATGAGTAATTTTGTGTGTGAGTAAGTCTGGGTATGAGTAAGTCTGAGTGTGAGTCAGTCTGTGTATGAGTAAGTCTGGGTATGAGGAGGAGAGGGGAGGAGAAGGAGAAGAAGGAGGCGAAGTCGGCGGCGCTCAAGAAATAACAAGAACCCCATCTTAGGATATGGGGAATAAGACTATCGTTATCTAGTTATCCGGTCGGAAGCGAGGATCTGGTGGCCGTTGGGCGGCAGCGCTAGCGTGGCCAGGGCCGCAGCATTGCCAGGGCACCGCTCCTTGGCACGATCCTGCTCAGTTCTGTGATTCAGCACCACCCACCGAATCACCCCAAATTTAGGTCTTCGGGTCAGGTTGGGGTGGTCTGGTAGGTACAGTCGGGGCCCTGAAGAAGGAACCCTGTTCGTTGGGGAGGGGCTCGGTGTTCCTTGATTGTTTCACAGCTTGCCTTTGGTTTTGCTTAGGGTTTCGATGGGAAATCGAACTTGAACTGATGGGAGAAAGGGGCCCCGTTCCTTTTTTTAGGGTTCCTTAGGTCAACGCCCCGACGGTACCCGCTCACCCCCTGTGCACCGTGTGGTCCCGCTCCGCGCGCCAAGGAGGGGGGGTTCCTTAGGTCAACGCCCCGACTGTAGGTCGTCAGTTCAGGCCTCGCGAGTGGCACAGGCAGCAGAGCCCACGGGCTCTCTGCCAGGCCTGGCGGCTCGGGCACGCACCGTGGAGACGGGACCGGGGGAGGGGCCGCGGCAGCCCCAGGGCCAGAGCACGACCCCCTCGAGTTAGCTCCACCTAGCCTTGAGTCGGGCGCGTCCCTCTACAGGGGGAATCTTCAAACATAGTTCGAAAAATAGTCTGGGGACGACGTTTTATTATTTTCCCCCAGTGTTGACTATTCTTGATCTCTCCTCCGAGATCCGATTGTAACACGCCCGACCTAATTCTAGCCACAGTTCCGCGATTGCCCTAGCACATACTGCTGGGTTGGTTGCCTTGGCAGGGGCCTGCGAGCCCTTTCCCCCCGACCCTTGGGGCGAGCGCCGGCCACAAAAGACAGGGCCTCTCGGCACGTACCGGAGGACACGCTTCGGTCCCCCTCCCCCTCCTCCTCCTCCCCCTCCTCCTCCCCCTCCTCCTCCTCCGCCTCCTCCTCCTCCTCCTCCTCCTCCTCCTCCTCCTCCTCCTCCTCCCCCTCCCCCCCCACCTCCCCCCTCCCCCACCCCTCCTCCTCCTCCTCCCCCTCTTCCTCCTCCTCCCCCCCCTCCCCCTCCCCCTCCCCCCCCCCTCTCGGCCTCTGGGGCCTGCTGCCGGGCCCCGGGACCATCGGAGCTGGAGCCACATAGGGCGACGGGCCGCCCCTCGGGCAGGAGAGCCGAGGGAGCTCCTGGGGCCGCGCACCGGGAACGTCACACCGCAGGAGTGGACCTTCGGGTCGGGCGAAAGGGGGGGTTTGGGAAAGGGGGGGGTACGAAATCTGCTGCATGCAGCTGTTTCGGCCCGACCGAGGGGCCCATTCCTCGATACATGGGCGCCTCCCGGCGCCGGGAGGCGCGGGGAAAATCAGCTACGTGAGCTGATTCTCAAACCCCCCCTTTGCTATCCCCCCCTTTCGCCCGACCCGAGACCTACGCGCAGAGAGGGGGGGGGGCCTCCCGCTCTGCTTCCGATCGGAGGGCACCAACTATACACCAACACCGATCCTGGCCAGGATCACCCTGGGCCCAGGGTCGGTGCATACGCCCTCCTGCCTGGGGCAGGAAGGCATATACACCGATCCTGGGCCCAGGATTGGCCTGGCCAAGATCGGTGTAGGTGTATAGTTGGTGCCCTCCCTTCCGAGGGCCAGGCCAGGCGGGGCGCGGCAAGTTTGGCAAGTCTGTCGACTGCGTCATTGCCTGAGGCGTGTCTCCTCTGCTCGGAGAAGCGCTCGAGATATTCTATCTCTTGATGGGCTTTGACCTTGGCACCCTCAAACCCACCGTCTCGGTGGACTTCTCCTACCTTGGCCATCGAGCCTTGCCCGTCAAATATCTGATTCCTACTGGCTGGCTTGTCCGAGTTGTGGCAGGCTGCCACACTTTTGAAATCGGAATGTATCCTTGTCGCTCCTCTGAATCTGCTACTGGCTAGGTACGCTTGAAGTTCTGCTGCAGGCAACGTGCGCGGAAGAGCTTTGCCTACTGGGCCACAGAGGTACGCAGCTACATCGCCATTGTGATCACACTCAACAGTTGCCTGGCCAGGGGCAAGAACTGGTGGCCGTCTTTGGCCACACTACCGTCAACATCAACCTCGCCGACAAAAGCTCCGGCTGGCGAAATGCCATCACGGAACCACAGCTCCGCGGCGGCCAAGCCTAAACCAGAGGAGGAGGAGAAGGAGGCTGAGGTGGAGGTCCCCTCCCACCCTAGGCTCTATGCCCCTTCCCAGGACCCTCGCCCCCAAGGCCCTCGACCCCACAGAGAGTTGGCTTCCGGACGGACCGCTGGCCCAACTACGCCGCGTCCAGGACGGCAGGAGGAGGCGGACAGGCAGGAGAGGAGAGCGGACGACGACGACCCTCGGAGACGACAACGAGGAAGACGACACCTTAGAAAAAGGAAAGTACCCTGCGACGTACCAAACCATTCCTATGACTACTATACCCAGGACCGCTCAATACAAGCGAATACGTTGAAGGACCCGCAGCGCGCAGGAGCCGTAAGGTCTCGGGTGGATGTGCGTACTCCCCCACGCTGGGCCTCCCAGGAAGCCCACGAAGGTGGCGACAGTTGCGCAATTCGCAGCCCCCCAGCGAGCCACGAGGTCTCGACTGGATGTGCGTACTCCCCCACTCCGCTGGGCCTCCCAGGGGCCCACGAACTTGTCGACAGCTGGACAGTTCGCAGCACCCCTTGTGATCCGCGAGGTGACCCGCGAACGTGTCGACAGCTGCGCAGTTCGCAGCCCTTCAGGGAGCCGCGAGGAGGAGGGGGAGGAAGGAGGATGGAGACCACGATGCTCTATTCAGAGCGAGAAGCCACAGCCAACACAGGAGGGCAGGGAAACATCACGGCAGACCAGCACGCCTCTCCAACATTGCTTTCACTCGTTGCCCCCTGTCGTGCGAAGATCGTCTTGCGGAGCGGAGGCAGGGGGGGATGGGGGCACCCCCCCGAGAGGGGAAGAAGGAAGTTGGAAGAAGAAGCGCCCTACACCACCTACGCCCTGAAGGGCTGTGTTTGCCATGCAGTCTCAAAGTTATGCAAGCCGACGGCCGTCTGGAATGGCCTCGGTCTTGGCCTTGCTCCGAGAATCCTGTCACAGAGTATCACAGTTCTGCTGGTTATGCCTTTGACGCCAGTGTGTGTGTGTGTGAGTGTGTGTGAGTGTGTCTGTGTCTGTGTTTGCGCGTGTGTGTGTATGTGTGTTTGTGTTTGTGTGTTTGTGTGTGTCTGTGTGTCTGTGTGTGTTTGTGTATGAGGGCTCGGCCAGGCGAAGACGCCTGCGCCTCACTGTTCTCCGGCCTTCTGCGCCCCGTTGCCGCGCGCAGGGCCGCGACGTCGGAGAGTGAGCTGTGTGTGTTGCTCCACCTCGTCGCCGCGCGCGATGCCGTGGGCGCCCAAGAGCGTTTCGTGTTTTTTTTTTGTGTGTTGTTGTGTGTTGGTGTTGGTGTTGGTGTTGGTGTTGGTGTTGTTGTTGTTGTTGTTGTGGTTGTGGTTGTGGTTGTGGTTGTGGTTGTGGTTGTGGTTGTGGTTGTGGTTGTGGTTGTGGTTGTGGTTGTGGTTGTGGTTGTGGTTGTGGTTGTGGTTGTGGTTGTGTGTTGTGTGTGGTTGTGTGTGTGTGTGTGTGTGTGTGTGTTTGTTTGCGTGTGTGTCGGCCTGCGCACCCGACTTGCTTCGTGTCGTCCGCCGCGCGGGAGGTCGCGACCGCCAGAAAGGTGCGTGCGTGCGTGTGTGTGTGTGTGTGTTGTGTGTTGCGTGTGTGTGTGTGTGTTGCGTGTGTGTGTGTGTGCCTGTGTGTGTGGCGCAGATCCCCCGAGCCGAGGCATGCGAAGGTGCCAGAGGGCAGCCAAGCCGGCGAGGAGGACATGTACGTGGGGCGGGGCGACAAGCGTGCGGAGCCGCCGCCGTGGTGGGGACGTTTTGGGGATATCTCGCAATCCCTGCTGCTCGTACGCAGGATTTTCGACCTGGGGGTTCTTATGCAGGAAGAGGGTGGGCAGAATGGAATTCAGCATCTGGCTTGTCTTCTGCAGTCTCGCTCATGTCTGCGTAAGTGAGTTGCCGTGCGTGCGCGGGAGATCGGCACGGCCGTCGTGCAGATCATCACCGGCCGCACCACTGACGTCGCCCCCCGCGCCCGATCAGCGTTCACGCGAACGTAGTGTCATGTTTACAGAGTGTGGCAGTGCATACATCAGTGGTCAGGGCGCCTAACAGGGCCGAGCTCAGATTGGACCCCCCACCCCCGCAAAAAGACGGGTCAATGAGCCTTGCCGTGCTGCTGGATGGCATGTGGCATGTCCGCGAACCGTGCCCAGTCCACGCATCCAGCACCTCACGAGCACCCGTTCGGGAGAACGTGCATTTTCCGGGGCGGTCTGTGTTCAGTCCCGGAATTCGGCACCGCCTGCACCCCGCACCCTCCGGCCGCCTGAGGCCCCGCCCGCCCGCGCCCCGTCTCCCCAATTAGTGCTTTGCGCGCCCCGCCTAGCTCCTAACCGGAAGAGGCCCGTCGCCATCGCCGTCGCCGTCGCCGTCGCTGTCGCCCTCAACGTCGCCGCCGCCGCCACCGTCGCCGCCGCCACCGCCGCCGCCGTCGTCGCCGTCGTCGTCGTCGTCGTCGTCGTCGTCGTCGTCGTCGCAGTCGTCGTCGTCGTCGTGGTCGTGGTCGTTGTCGTCGTCAACGTTGAAAATCCAGGCACGTCGTCTTCGCTGGCGTCGCCGACGGAGGTCAATGGCGACGTCGTTGCTGGCGCCACCGTCCGGAGGGAACCTGGAGGCCCCCAGACTTGCCCGATGGTCCTCAGAGGCCTCCGGAGGTCCTCACAGGCGCCCGAATGCCCCAAAGCGACCAAAACGTAAACAAATCGTCACCGTCGCCACCGCCTGCCGTCGTCGTCGTCGTCGTCGTCGTCGTCGTCGTCGTCGTCGTCGTCGTCGTCGTCGTCGTCGTCGTGGTCGTGGTCGTCGCCGTCGCCACAGCCGCCGCCGTCGTTGTCCGAGCAAGATCCGCGCCGAATCGGCACGCGGACCCCTCCAGGGGATCCTCCTGGCTATTTTGTTGTTCGAGCAGCGCCCCGCCGCGGCCGCGAGGGAACCTCCAGGAATACGTCGGGGCCGCCCACCGTCGCGCATATCGCGGGGCGCGATATGCGCGAGGCGAGGTGGCCTAGGCTGCGCTGCATCTTCGGGGGACCCTCGCCTGCTCTTCAAGACGCGATAGCTCTGTGGAAGACGATCAATGGAGACGAGGCATGTTGCCACATAGTTTCCTGATGTCTACAACATTGTTCAAACATGTCTATAAAGTGCAGAAACATGTTTGAAACAGTTTTGGAACATTTGTTGTAAACATGTAGAAGACATTCATATTTTAGTTTTAGCTCAATGAAAGAGCGGTGAGAGTGTCCAGTGCCATGGCATGCACGACGATAGCTTCTCATGCGCCCGATGCGCGTCCGACAGGGATTCGACGCGGGCTCGACGCGGACTCGACGCGAGCTCGGCGTGCGCCGCGGGTTCGAAGCCGATTGGACGTGGACAGAGCGGCATGATTGCCCGGCATCGCTCGAGCGTGTGATTGTTTCCTCGGCGAGGGCCATCGAGGAGCATCCTGGACAATCGAGCCCAAAAAACACGCACGAAATCGAAAAACGCACGGGGAATGGACGTCCGAGAGATGGCGAGACAATGGGGCAGGCAGTTTTTGGGCCTGCGGCGGTGGGATCCACCGCACCGCGGCCGACAGGCGGCCACCGGTCCCCGGAGGCACGCGCCGATAGCGCACAAGAGGAGGTGCGGAAGAGGAGGAGAGGTGACCACCTGGAGGAGGAGGAGGAGGAGGAGGAGGAGGAGGAGGAGGGATGATGAGGGGCGGGAGGAGGAGGAGGAGGGAGGCGGGAGGAGGGAGGGGGGAGGAAGGAAGGAGGAGTAGGAGGAGGTAGGAGGAGAGGAGGGGGGAGGGGGAGAGGGAGGGAGGAGGAAGAGGATGGGAGGGGAGGGCGGAGGAGGGAGGGAGGAGCAGGGAGGGAGGTGAGTCTCTGGATGAGGAGGGGGAGGGTGGAAGGGATAGGGGAGAGGTAGGGAAGTAGGAGGGAGGCGGAGGGAGGAGGTTTATGGATGCGGAGGAAGGATGATGAGAAAGGATTTAGGAGTCGGATGGTCCGAGAGGAGGAGGAGGAGGGAAGGAGGAGGGGATTAGGATGATTCGTATTCTTAGCGGATTGCTTCGGATTATTCGTCTTAGTTCTGATTCTTCGTCTTTTCTTCTCTCTGTGTTATGCATGCTGCTTCGTGCGTTCTGCGTAATCGATTCTTATGCTTCTTCGGTCGTATTCGATTTTATTATTTCTTTCTTTCTTGGATTTCCTTTCTTTCTTTCTTTTCCTTCTTTTGCCCCATCCCTTTTCTCTCGTGCGTCCATATCTTACATCCTACCCCTCCCCCCATCCCTTTGCATGGCGCAGATCCCCTCTCTACTCGCACAGTCGGATGCCGAGCAGGGCAATGATCCCGAAAGGGTACGCGATGCATTGTAGAGCACGGCATGGCATGGCGTAGAAGAGCACCGCAAAGCGTAGTATTAACCTAGCAATGCATTGCATGCCGTGGCATGGCACGGGAAATGACGCCAGCGCTGCAGCGGGAGCACGAGTCGAAACGAGCGGAAGCGCGGAAATGAGGCCAGCGCTGCAGCGGAAGCACGATTCAGAACGAGCGGAAGCACGGAAATGAGGCCAGCGCTGCAGCGGGAGCACCATTCGGAACGAGCGGGGCCCGACAATGAGGCCAGCGCCTCAGCGAGAGCAGCATTTTGAAAACAAATGCAGGCGGAAACCCAACTCCGGGGAAACCTGTGTGTAAAAAACATTACGCGGGAGGGGGTCGGACACTTTCAGGCCGTCATCCGGGGAAGAGGGAGAGTAGTATTCATATTGAGTAATTGTGGAGGAGGAGGAGGAGGAGGAGGAGGAGGCGGAGGAGGAGGAGAGGCGCGGAAAAGGTGCGTTAAACTCGTTCCCCTGGCCACCTCTTCGCGTTGGGAGCGCTGTTGCCGCCGCTCCCCGCGAGGGTGCGGGGAAGAGGGGCGCTCTAAAGACCTCGTCGGCTACGGTTGCCGTGCCCCGCTGCACCCAGGACACTCAAATTCCGCCTCCTCCCTCCGCTCCTCCTTCCGCCCCCCCCCCCCCCTTGTCCTCCATGTCGGCGGCGAGCGAGGGGGGGAAGTGAGAAGGAGAAGGCCCTCTCAGAAGGCTCGGAAGTCACCCGGCCTTCCGAGAAGCTTTCTGTAAGCCTCCCCCGAAGACGCAAACGGACCCCTCGGAGGGCGCGAGGGCTCCTGAGAAGTCCCGGACGCCCTCTGACAGGGCCTCCTCCTTCTCGTTTCCCCCCACCGAAGGTAAGCGCGCACCGCGGGGCGCAACGCTCGAAGTCCGGTGATCGGAGGAGGAGGAGGAGGAGGAGAAGGAGGAGGAGGAGGAGGAGGAGGAGGTGGAGGTGGAGGAGGAGGTGGAGGACTTAGGATTTGTAGGAAACGTCCCGAGTTCTTTTCAAGGCGGGGACTTAGTGGAGGGAGGAGGAGGAGGAGGGCAGACTCAGGACATGCATGCAGTCCTTCGGGCGCAGGGCGATGGGGCCGGCGAGGTCTCCCGGAAGGTGCGCGCCGGGGCTGCCGCCACAGGGCCCGCGGAGGCCCCCCGAGAGAGGAGGCCCCCCAGAGGGTCGAGGCCGGGGCTGTCCTCCTCCCCTCCTCCCTGTGCGGAGGTGTGAGTGCTGCAGCTGGATGGCTGGATGTCGGCCCCCCTGGTCCGTGGCCGTGCCCTCCAGGACCGCGCGTGGGGCCGCTGGGCTTCCTGTCGCGCCCCATCCTGTGTGGGTGCCGCCCACCTCCTCTGGTGATGGCGAGAGGACGAGCTTACAGTCTTCAATGCATGCTGAGTCGACAAAAAACAAAAAAAGGAGAGGAGGCCCCCCGAGAAGGGGCCCGAGGAGGGCCGAGCAGGTCCGAAGCCCTCCCCCCTCGACCCCTGCGGGGGTCGAGGGCGGAGCTCTGCACGGGCGGAGGTCCGCCGAGGGTGCAGCAGGAGGCGTCCCTAAGGTCGGGCCCGTCCCTCTACAGGAGGGAGCGCTCAAAAACAGTAGAAGAATAGTTTTGGGACGATGTGTTGATCATTGTTGCCAATGTTTGGAGCATTCCTGGGGTATTTTTTGATTTTTCCGTCCAAAATCCCTCTGTAGAGGGACATGCCCGACCTGGGGCTTCCCCGCGGAGGCGGGGGTGGCCGCGCGAGTCCCAGGACAGGAAACAACAAACTCGTGTTTTGGCTCTTGGTCAGCTTTCCAGTTTCTTTTCTGCTGCCATTTGCTTTTCGGCTCCGCCGCCGTTGTCGTCTCCAGTTCCAGTTCCGCTTCCGGCGCAGTTGTTTTTTCGTTTCGGTGAGTTGTTGTTGATTTTTACCGTAAGGGGCGCATTGTGGAAAAGTCAGCAACACTTGAATTGCCGTTACCTGCGCCGATTTATAAGAACGGTGATCTTCAGAACGTGTGTTAGCCCGATGTGTGTACGTACCCCGTTCGACTCATCCGGTGTCACAGACGGTGCAGAACTTTGGTTAAGCGTGTCGCTCCAGTTCTACAGTCGGCCCGGATTAACTTAGTAGGTCGACCCTGCAAGCTCAAGGGTACCCTTGTGTCCTGTGCCTCGCGGCACGTGCCTGCTTACACTCCTATGGCGATGTGGCCCTCGGAAGGGTCTTGTGTCCTCTCGCGTGTCCTCTCCAATCAAGTCCGACTGTAGCCCACCACGCTTCGGTGCGACATGCTATCCGCGTGCCAGTCCCCAGAGCTCAGCGTCCCGAGCCTTTCCCAGCCTCCCGCGCGCGCGGAGCGGAGCGGCACGGTATCCGCTTGCAGGGCCTAGCGCGTCGCGGGGGCCGCCGCCGTACGAGGCCGAGCACAAGTTCTTGATGATAGCCTGTGTCGGCCTTCGTTGTGCCGCCTGCGTCGCGAGAACAAGGGTCTCAGGGCCGTCCCTCCTCGTCTTTCGCATTCCAGTGCA